TAATTAATTCCTAATCTTATTTCTATATTTTTTCAAAGACCTTCTTTTTTCCAAGGATCTTGGATTTTTAAGGCTATTGAAGGATTTACTATAAATATGATTTTTTTATATTTTTTTTATGAACCTCCTGACAAACAAACTTAGATTTTTTCGAGGACCAAAATACCAATAATTTTTTTATAGGCCAAAAACTATTTAATATGTTTTTTTTTTTTTCAATAATGTTCTTTAAGGACCAAAAAATGCTGGAATCACTTTTCATGTACATCTTGGGCAATAAACATGGATATTTTAGAAAGATTTCTTCAAGGAATAGCTGACCAATTCACCATTAAACCTTTTTTTGTAAGATCCTCCTGACCTATAAAGGCAGATCTTTTACTAGAAATTTATTTTCACGGGCCTCTGGTCAATAGGTTTGAACTTTCATAAGCCGTTCTTTCAAGGAACTATTCAATAAACGAAAATTTTGACTTTTTCCGAATATTTTTTCAAAAACTCAAAAAAGCAAGCGTAGATTTTTGGGAATGCTTTTAAGGACTAAGAGACTATTTTTTATACCTTCCATCAAACATAGTATGGAGGGTATATTAAGTTCTCCCACCGTTTGTAACTCATCGAAATAATAACTTTAGCCCTAACAAAGTATATATATGTTTGATCAGCGTAAAATTCTAAGACGATTTAGCCCTCTCCATCCGTCTGCTGTAATTACCCTTAAGTAAAAACGAATTAAGATAGGACATTTTTCACAGATCGGTCTTTGTCAATGGAATTTTCTGAAAATTCACACCTGGAGTTCCTTTTGAGTCCTTCATACCCTGGAAGAGTACTGTCTTTATAAGTCCACGATATCGTATGTCCCATATAACGGTACATCCCCATATTAGGTATTTTTATAATTTTAGTCCCATTTTTCATTAGAGTTATTTGAAAATCTACACAAGGAGTTGTTTCTGAGTACTTCAACCCTGGAATAATATATAGGTTCACGATATCGTATAGCACCCTTAAAACGGTATTCCCCAATATTAGGTATTTTAATGTGTTTAGCGACATTTTCACCTGAATTGTTTTAAATTTCGTATTTAAAGTACGAAGCTCGCAATGAGTACTACAACTTATGACGAAAATTGTCTATGCAGTTCCACGTGATCCTTTGATCATTTTAGCAACATTATTCAACGAAATTGTTTCAAATTTCGCATTTTAATTTCGGAATGGGTACTACAGCATTACATTAATTATGTAGGTTCACGTCTTCGTATAGCCCCCATATAAAGGTTTTCATTTAAGTGATATGTTTCGACGTTTTTTTTTTTTTTAATTGTTCAAGATCCTTCAAAATTGTGGAAGGTTAAAAGTTCGGTCCGGCAGAACTTTCAAGTACAAGGGGATTAATAAAATTGATTTTTTTTAATATTATTTGTAAAGAACGGTAAATCACAAAAAAAAAAAAAAATATTTCATATCAGTCGAATCGTGGATTTCAAAAGAATAATTTTACTGTCGATCCAAATATTTTTTTTCTTTATTTTTTTTTCGTTAACGGTGAATCGGAATATTTTTATGAGCTATTAAATTTATGTTCATAGATTTTCAAATCAATTTTTTTTTAAAGAATTATTACATTTCTTCCCATGATTTGAATAATCTTTGAAGGACTTTCCATTGCTTTTATTTATTATGTGCATTCAAAATTATATTCCTGGAAAGGAGAAGGAGGTATCCGAATTGGTGCTCTTGAACCATATCAGACCACATCACTACCCTCAAAAGCGGCTACAAATTTAATAACAAAAATTAATTTCGATTGGACGATGAAACAGTTATTATATTTTTTAGAAAATGGACCAAGTACCAACATCTTCATGCACCGTCAACACAGGTTAAGGAGGAGATAGTAATATAATATAATTTTTAAAATAGAATAAGCCCAAAACTTGTTTTATAGGATGAGGCTATAATGTTATTGGCTAGACCGATTATTTATTATTAACTTTTCTTTGTTCTCACAGTCCTATGAAAACAAAATTATAATAATTTTCTTTTATCGAATATTTGCAATTCCTATAAAATTGTTCGATACCAATTAATAAACCAAAATTCAATTCCCTTTTATATTCAAATCAAAAGGTGAAAAAACTAGTAAAAAATTCTTGAAGAATACAGTGTCGAAAAAACACAATTATAAGGCTCGCTTAAGTGGGGGCTACAACAAACGATGTGACAGTATGCAATTCTAGATTTACTAGGGGTTTCAAAATTTTCCTATACATTTTTAAAGTGAAATTTGCATACAGTGAATTGGGCGAGCTTTGAAATTCATTCTCTCTCCAAAAATATTCCACTTGCGTAGGACATTCGACATTCGTCCTAGCCAACTTCAATTCCATTTTACAAAGCGCTATTTTTATTGTATTTTTACACATGCTGATTATTTGTGACACATACGTATGTGTGTGGGTTCAGATGTACATACGTTTATACATATGTCTGTCAGAACATTCATGCATTCGTGTAAACTGATAGGCGAGAATGTTCATACCTCGCTCGGTGCGTTGCGTTGTGTTGTTGCACAATAAGAAATGTATGGCATACAGAGATCGCACTCAGCCAACCGCCACCCACACACATTTACACCAAAAGCGAACAGAGAGCATACCAAACGTCATTAACATACCGGAAGTGCAAACATTTTTTTGCTTCCCCTCTCCCTCCGTTACTTGGCGTTGGCGTTGCTAGATTATCGTTGCCGCCGTTGCCGTTGCTGTTGTTGCTGCTGTTGTTAGCGTTCTTGCTTTGCTAGTATTATTGCCATTGTACGAATATTCCTTTTCCTTTCACAATTCAACATTATTATGTACCGGATATGTGAAAGTGAGCAAGTGTGAGTGTGTCTGTGAGACCGAGCTAGTGTTGGCCTGTAATTTCTTGGCAATTTAAAAAAACGAAGAAAACGAAGTAGGAAAGTTATTTAAATTTTACACTGCAAATGCAAGAAGATATATGATTCGAATGCTTGTAAAAGAAATACAATTTACATTATTCGTTTTTTTGTGTTGCTGGTATTGCCAGTGTATGTATGTGTGTTTGTGGGTAATTTGTAAGAATATACGTAAAGTAATATTTCAAAAACATATACCATGCAATATTTAAATGGCATGAGCAACAAATTTACTTCTTTTGAATAATACAAATGCCAGATATCAGTTTTTGTAATCTGTTATTGGCAATTTGCAAATGTTCATTTTTTTGTTAAGGTTTTTTATTGCTGCAGTTTTTTGTTGGTCTTTTGTAGATTACCAATTAAATATTAAATTCAATGAATAGAAAATATCTCTTTTTTTGTTGGGTTTAAGAAAGGTAATTGTTCATTTTATGTCGTTGTTTTTTTCTGTAGGATTAAAAAATTGTTTATTAAAATAACATCAAATATAGTTGGCTAGCTTAAGGGTCATAAGGTAATAATAGATAGAAGAGTTATATATTATTGTAACATATTGTCAATGAATTAAATGTACCTAAAATAGAAAGGAACTCATAAAACAAGTAAAAATGCTCTAAGCTCGGTCGCGCCGAACTCTGAACACCCTCCACCATATGGAACGAATTCGGCAAATTTTCAAAAAAAGAAAAAAAAAATAAAATCCGTTAAAAATTCTATTAAAATCTTAAAAATGCCGAATGTAGCCCTTATATTAGGGTCTATACGTCGGCATGGAGCTGTATAGGCAACTTTTGTCATAAGCTAATGTAGCTAATATCATCAAAGTACCGAATATAGGGAGGTATAGGCTATATCAAACCGTGGATCTGCACAGACAACTTTCTGTAGTAGGCATAAGGAACTTTAAATTCTAAATTTAAAACAATTCCGATGAATAAATTCGCTAAAATCATCAAAATACCAAATATCGGTAGGTGCCGTTATATTGCGGCTATACGAAGGCGTGGACATACACCGACGAATTTCTGAAATAGACTGTAGTATCTATTACGAACTTCAAATATCAAATTTGAAACAATTCCGGTGAATAATGTCGCTAAAATCTTGAAAATACCGAATATGGGGAGGTACCGTCATATGAGGGCTATACTAAGACGTGGACCTGCACAGACAACTTTATGTTAGAGGCTGTAGTATTCATTACCAAATTCAAAAACCAAATTTAAAACAATTCCGGTGAATAATGTCGCTAAAACCATGAAAATACCGAATATGGGGAGGTGCCGTTATATGGCGGCTATATGAAGACGTGGACCTGCACAGGCAACTTTCTGTCATAGGCTGTAGTATCCATTACGAACTTTAAATACCAAATTTGAGACAATTTCGGAGAAAAATGTAGCTAAAATCATCAAAATACCGACTATCGGGAGGTGCCGCTGTATGGCGGCTATACGAAGGCGTGGACCTGCAAGGACAATTTTCTGTCATGGGCTGCAGTATCTATTACGAACTTCAAATATGAAATTTGAAACACTTCCGGTGAATAATGTCGCTTAAATCACCAAAATACCAAAAGTCCTGCAGACATAATAAACATTTGAGTAAAATTTTATCAATCTGCTTCATTTCGTTCAGAAACTAGAGTGATTTCCACAGACGGACAGACATCGCTTATTGGACATAAAATGTTATGCTGATCTTGAATATATACACTTTGTGGGGTCTTAAATGTATATTTTAAGGTGTTACAAACGGAATGACAAACTTAATATACCCTCCATTCTATGATGGAGGGTATAAAAATGTAGGAAAATGTGTGTTTTCCTTTTAAATTGAAATTATTTTGATGAAGAACAACTAAAATACTTCAATTCACGTGCAAGGTAACATGTTAGTTAGATTTGGGTAATTTCGGAGAGTCCAAAGGCTTAGAATTGAACCATCTCCATATGTAGAGGACATTTCTTCAAAATTATAATTGAAAAGGAGTTTCGATCTTCCTTATGAATGTCATAGCCGCATATTGATTCAGAATCGTTTTTTATAGGTATTCCTTCCAAACGAGGGTATAAAAAATTTGGCCGGCCATGAAGAAGGAAACGAAATATGCACATAGCTCATTCTGAAGATTTTCATAGAATCACTTTTTGAGTCGATTTATGGATGTCCGTCCGTTAATCTGTCCACATACAGGGTGAGATGAAACAACTGCAACCAAATTGAGATTGCTGTAATTCCTAAGCCACTCGTCCGACAATTGTTATAATTATTCCAGTAACAGCTCATTATAATGTTTACAAGCGTACAAAAGCGTTTTGGTGAGAATTTTCCAGAACAAAAGTTATTCGCTATGGAATTCAAGCGTGATAGTGTGATTTTTTTATATTTGGCTGGAAAACCACAAATGGCTATCGTTATAGCACTGAAGCATTTAAATGTGAATAAGTCTTTTGTGTCTCGTACCATCGCTCGTTACCGTGATACTGGTAGCGTAGCCCGACGTCAAGGAAGTGGACGGATGAAAACTCCAACATCAGCAGAAATGGTTCGAAAATAAAGAAGCGACTTGATCGAAACCAGCGCCGCAGTGGCCGAAAAATGGTCGATGAGCTGAACAGATCGCAATATTCCATTCGGCAAATATTGAAAAATGAGCTCGGGGTAAAAGTCCAAGAACTTACACCGCAACACAACGAAAATACACTCAAAAGAGCAAAAGAGTTGCTTCGCTTGGCCGAAAGTGGTGAACTGCCGAATTTGGTTTTCTCCGCTCCGATGAGAAAACGTTCGTTGTCCAGCAGTTTGTAAACAAACAAAATGATCGTGTTTACTTGCCAAAGAGGCCAATGTGTCAAAGAGCTGAAAATGTGCACCTTCGGTTGGCCACCAAAACTCAAGCGCCGGCCATGGTGATTTTGTGCCATAACAGCCGAAGGTCACTCTCCGCTCGTATTAATCGACCGTGGCACAAGAATAAATGCCGAATATTATCGCGAAAATATTCTGGAGGATGTATTAAAGCCTTGGGTACGCAAACATTTTGGCCGCAGGCCTTGGACATTCCAACAGGACTCAGCACCATCGCACTCAGCACGCGCCACCCAAGAATGGTTACAAAATTAAGCTCGTCGCTTAATTTCCAGCGCACAATGGCCACCAAAATCTCCGGATACCAATCCGTTGCACTATTGTGTCTAGAGTATTCTGGAATGCAAGGTTGGACCTAAAAAATACCAAAGTGTCACCTCAAGCAAGCGCTTCGCCGTGCTTTTGCCAAAATACCGCAGAACAACATTCAGGCATCGTGTGACAATTTCATTGGCCATTTGAAGGCCATAATTAGTGCCAAAAGGTGACCAATTCGAACAAATCTAAACATATTTTAAAATTTGGTGCTACTTCCGACATTTTTTACTTACATTAAATAAAATTAAAAAAAAGTAAAAATTATGGTGTTTGACTTTGTTGCAGTTTTTTTAATCTCACCCTGTATGTGTCATAGGTTGTAAAACCCATCAGGATCTTCAAATATGCAACAATTCCCGTAAATAATGTCGCTATAATCATCAAAATACCAAATTTTGAGAGGTACCGTTATATGGTAAATATACGAAAACGTGGATCGACATGATCCATTTACGAATTTTACCTGTGTACTGTCAAAATAAAGATGTGTGCAAAATGTTAGACTTCTGTTTCAATTCGTTCAAAAGTGTGATTACAACGAGCAGACAGAAAGACAGGCGGACAGTGCTTGACTTGAAATTTATATTTTTTAGCTTCTATCATTAGTTTTTTAACCCTAGAGAGATAACCCTATTGGAAGCTTCGGAAAAGATAACCATACGTCTGTGGGACGTATCATAGTTTTTCTACGGTGACAACATTTTGGGAAGCATTTTTTACCTTTTTTGTACTGTTCTTTTTTGTACATCATCTTCAAATAATTCATCTCCTGCTTCACTGCCATCAGATGATTCCGAATCGCCCGATAAACCTTGCAAATACGCATTTATTTCTGTGTAATTTAACCTTCTATTTCGGGTCATTATTCTTGGTTTAGCTAATGAAAGAACGAAATCACGATCAAAACAAATTTATTCAAATTGAGTGTAAAAGTCACACAAAAGCTAACCATACGTCTCTGAGACGTATGCGATCGCCAAAACTCAAAGAGTATCGAACTTACCACGACAAAATAACCACCACCGGCAAGCTACTGTAGACGACTGAGAAAAACAAAAACAGTAACGTGTTTCACAAACATTCGAGAGAGGGAGAGCGAAAAATAAAAATGACATACCTCTCTCTGACGTAGGTTATCTTTCTAGGGTTAAGGAGTCACAAATGGAGTGGCAATGTTAATGTATCCCCCATGGAATTGTGAAGGGTATAAAAATAACAGCAACTCCTGGCCAGATTTTTCGATGAGAGCACAGTCCCATTTTCGGGTTTTAAAGGTACCAGTTCATTATATAGTCAGTGTGGCTATAATTTGACTTAGAGTAATTTTTCAATATAGTTCGAAGCATAAGCAATACAATGACAACTTCTTACCATTCCTTAATTTTTCAGGAGTTTAAGGTAATTTATTCAGCAGCAATTTATATTTTACAACGGGAAGGATATGTAAAGTTTAAACTCGCAGAAAAACAAAGGAGTTCTTTGAAATGATTGATTCTGGGTTAAATATTCCCAACAAAAACTTAAAGAAATTTTATGGACTAGTGACTCAATCAAGTTTATACTTCCCTAAATAGGTTTGAAATTTTTCCGAATAAAAGTTAAGATTTTTAGAAAGATATCAACACAAATGCTGTTTTTATGGTACTTAAAAAATTTTAAATTCAAATCCTTCAATTTTTCTTAAAAAAAATGCACTACCCACTTGAAATCGACAACAAAAAATAGGCAGCACAGACAAATGACAATGAAACACATTAAGAAACAAGCAGAGCCAAACAAAACGCATATTAAAGTGGAACAACAACAAAAACAATGAATTACAACAATAGCAACAACAGCAACAACATGGATGACACCAACAAGAAAACAGTCACGTTTTTCAATTAAAATGTTATTTTTTCCACACTTCATACTTTTACTGGTGTATCCTCTTTCGGCTCCTTTGGTACAATTCTCTCTTTTCCCAGCGTTTCCATTTTTTCTTTTTTGTTTTTTGATTGTTTTGTATTTTATGGTTTCATAGTTGTTGCCAGTTATTGTTTTTTGCAGCTTACAACATCATGTTTATGTTTTTTTGTTCTGTTCTGTCTCTCCTTCTCCCTTTTGTATTTTATTTCTAATTGTCCTTACCTCGTGCTTACTTTTTGCGATCCTCCAAACGTCTGTGTGTGTCTCTCGGTTTCGTCTGCTTGTTTATCGGTTTGAGGTAGTCGAGAGTTTTATGTCCTTGATTGTTTTGTCTTAAAGACCAAGAACAACAAAATGGCAAAAGGGTAATGGCATAAAATACGATAGGGAACTGACATTGCTTTCGACGTCGTCGTAGCCTGCGTCGGTGAGATGTAGAATGTCAAATTGAAAATCTCGGCACAAATGTCGATTTTCTTTCACTTTGGTGTTGTGTCGTATTTTTTCTTCGTTTCGTTGTTTTGTTGCGAACTCTCCATGGCACCACATGGCGTATACGTGATTTGTATTTTTCCTGAATTCTCTTTAAAGACTTTTGATGACCACCACATCATCAGCAATGCTCCAGCGTTCTGGGAAATCTCTATTGGTCTTACCTAAATCATTTGGAATAAATTAAATTTATTTATGGTTTTTAGCCATAGGCCAATATTAAATTTTAAGTATCAATCTATGTACATGTGTATGTTTGTACGTTAACTGATCCATGAAATCATAAAAGTTGATTAATGTTCCTGGGATTTGTTGTGTATTATGTTAAGGGAAGTTGGATTTTCCCAGAAACGTTGGTGAATTTTAAATTTCATTTCGTCAGAAGTTCAATATTTTTACAATGAGGAAAATAAACAGAAAAAAAAAAATAGCGGAATCCAAAAGAGAATTTGAGAAGAAGAGGGGTTATGGGGAAGAAAGGGTGTATGTGCTAAGAATGCACCTGTGTCAATCTAGTTCTTAGTTCAGTACACCAGTTCCTAAACGTATGAGTGATATAATTTCATATATTTCCCATCACTCATACGTAAATTTTTGATCTAAACGACCGGAGTATTCAAAACTAGATAGGGAACTACAATGACACAACTCCAGTGAGTAGACAGGCGTAAAAAACGAAACCTGCATATGTTCATTATGCCGATGACTTTAGCCATATTTTAAGCTGTATCGTATAAAATCCGTTATGTCCTTTCCAACTAGGCTTATAAATTGTTTTTAGAGAGATATCAATAAAGGCTTTATGATACCCTGCACCACTTTGCTAATTTAGTAGAGCTCCGCATAACAAATAAAAGTTTTTATGGGAGAATTCCATCATACACGCTATGATTATGATTATAATTCAAAGTTCAAAGGACTAAATATGCCGAAGCATTTGTATCTTTTAAATTCGGACTTGTATTGCCCATTTGGTGCACAGTTAATTTGAAATCGGATAAAAATATATATGGGAGCTATATCCAAATCGGAACCGATCTCCATAAAATTTTGCAAAGATATTTTTGAGCTGTATTTGATATATTTCCCTAAATATCGTTGTTACGGAGTGCATATTACGGCTGTGGGTAACAAATATAACAAATCGGATGAACGGTATATATGAGAGCTATAGCTATATCTGAACCGACCTTCACCAAATTTTACATACTAGCTTCTAGACCCAATTCGGTCGTAAGTGCCAAATTTCATCCCATTGGGAAAATATTAGACGTTTGGTGCACAATCAAAGGTAAATCGGACGAAGTTATATATGGGAGCTATATCCAAATCTGAACCGATCTCGATAAAATTTAGCAAATGTATTTCTGAGCTATATTTGATATATTTCCCCAAATATTGTTGTTACAGAGTGCATATTGCCGCTGCGGAGGACAAAAATAACAAATCGGATAAACAATATGTATGGTAGCTATAGCTATATCTGAACCGATTTCGATCAAATTTGGCATACTTGTTTTCAGGTCCAATCTGATTGTACGTGATCGGACGAAGATATATATGGGAGCTGTATCTAAATTTTGACTGATTATCTCAAATTTCAATAGTGTTTGTCCTTGGGCCAAACAAATGATTTGTGCAAGATTTCATCTGGATAGGGCAATAAATGCGAACTGTACTTTGTTTACAAAAATACATGGACAGACGGACGGACGGACGGACATGCATAAATCGACTCATCAAAAGGAACTATGGGTCTATCTCGTTTCCTTTTGCCTGTTACAAACAAATGAACAAAGACATAATACCCTTACCACCTTGTGGTGTAGGGTATAAAAAGTAGAAAAGCTGTAAGTTCGGCCGGGCCGAACTATGAATACCCTCCACCATTTGGAACGAATTTGACAATTCTCTAAAAACAATAAAATCCGTTAAAAATTCTTTTAAAATCTTAAAAATTCCGAATGTAGCTGTTACATTAGGTACATGAACCTGCATAGTTAATTTTTGTCATAAGCCATTACAATATTCAAATGCGAAACTTAAAAAAAATCGGTGACTAATGTAGCTGAAATCATCAAAATGCCGAATATCGGGAAATACCGGAGAATAATGTCGCTAAAATCATCAAAATACTGAATATCGGGGGGTACCGTTATATAGGGGCTACACGAAGACGTGGACCTACACATATTATTTTCTGTCTTAGGCTGTAGTATCCATTACGAACTTCAAATGCCAAATTTGAAACAATTCCGGTGAATAATGTCGCTAAAATCATCAAAATACCGAATATCGGGAGGTACCGTTATATGGGGGCTATACGAAGACGTGGACGTGCACAGACAATTTTCTGTCTAAATCGTAGAGAAATGTAGAGGTAGAGATGGGTTTTATCTCCTACAACTGAAGATTGCTGGAAATGTTGCATAGAATACCCTCGTATATTTAATGACTTTTGCCATCTTTTCAATATAATTATTTCAAAATTGGTATTTGAATTCTTATCAGGATGACAATTCTAAATTTCCTCCCAATATTCGGTAATTTGATGATTTTAGCGACATTATTCACCGGAATTGTTTAAAATTTGGTGTCTAAAGTTCGTAATGAATACTACAGGCTATGACAGAAAATTGTCTATGCAAGTCCACGTTTTGGTATAGCCCCCATATAACGGCTACATTCGGTATTTTTAAGATTTTGTGAGAATTTTTAACGGATTTTATTTTATTTATTTTTTTTTTTTGAAAATTGCCAAATGCGTTCCAAATGGAGGAAATTATTTAAAGTTCGACCG